CGCGAGACACAATGTCCCCTCCCTGACAGGCAGCACTATGAGGGACAGCACTGGAAACACAGTCCCAGGATTGTGCTTAGTCTGACACCCCACACCAACCCCCTTCCCACACACACACCAAGGCAAAACATAAACAGAGTGCAACAGAGCAGCAAAGGGAGCAAAGCAATGAAGTTCCCAAGGAATCCTGAAAATAAACTTTTGAATCGGGGTGGGTTGGAGTGGTGGTGGCAGGGCTTGGCATTTCATCAGACCCGATTGTAAAAACACTCATAATGGTCAGAAGACAGGCCTAGGACTATTTATAGACTTTTTCTTTTCTTTTCTATGTCTATCTATATAAGATAGGCGGGATACACATGGAAGAAGCACATCAGCCTGTGTGATCACGAGGTGTCAAAGGGATCAGGTATCAGGACTCAAAGAACAAAAAATCACATCATTGTAAATGAGGGTGAGTGTAGAGTGGAGAGCCAAAGCCATCTGTAGGCAACTGGACACCCCCTTACTGAGGAGTTGTGGGGAGGAGACAAGCCAGTCATAGTGCAGGGTAGCAATGATGAAACATACAACTTTCCTCTAGTTCTTTAATGCTTCCTCCCCTCACTATCATGATCCCAATTCTACCTTACAAATCTGGTTAGACCAGAGGGTGTACATTGGTACAGATAGCAACTGGAAACACAGGGAATCCAGGTCTGATGACTCCTTCAGGACCAGTGGTGTGAGTGGCGATACGTGGATGGTCAAGGGAAGGTGGGGTAGAACGGGGGAACCAATTACAAGGATCTACATATAACCTCCTCCCTGGGGGATGGACAACAGAAAAGTTGGTGAAGGGAGACATTGGACAGTGTAAGATATGACAAAATGATAATAATTTATGAATTATGAAGGGTTCATGAGGGAGGGGATAGTGGGGCAGGAGGGGAAAAATGAGGACCTAATATTAAGGGCTCAAGTAGAAAGCAAATGTTTTGAGAATGATTATGGTAGCAAATGTACCAATGTGCTTGACATGATGGATGGATATATGGATTGTGATAAGAATTGTACGAGCCCCCAATAAAATGATTTATATATATAAAAAAAAGATAAGCGGGATAAACAATCCCAAGAGGAGCACAACAGACTGGGACTGACAGTTCCTAAGAGGGTGGGGCCTAGTGGGGGTGTTGCTGGGAGAGGAGGCGGTGAGGAAGGGAGCGGTGGACCAAAAAACTCAGGGACAAAGGAGCAACAAGAGATCTAAAATCAATGGTGAAGAGGGTATAGAATTCCTGGTGGGGTTTGATCATGTGCAATGTAGCCAAGAGGAATTACTGAGAGCTGAATGAAGGTTGAACATGACAGTGGGACAGGAGGAAAGTGTGTTAGTCTGGGTATTTTAGAGAAACTAATCTACAGAAACTCATATGTATAAGAAAGAGTTTTATATAAAGGCTAAGTTCCCATCAAGAAAACATCCCAGCCCTGTGCTGCCCAAGCCCACAAGTCCCACATCAGCCCCTATGTCCAACACCCACAAAGTCCTCCTCCATCTCACAAAACACACACAATGATGCCGACTACAGGAGGAAAGCCGAATCAGTGAGCTTGTAAGCTGGCAGGGGTCTCCACATGGGTGCTTCAGCACCCAGGGCTGCATTGGGGTAGGTCCATGCAGCTTCTCCTTGGGGATGTCTTGCAGGAAGTGAGCCTTGCAAGCTGAAGCAGGGAACTGGCCAAGGCAGCTGCACCCTGGTCCTACCATCACAAATCAAGAGACGTGAGAACTCGAAAGGTGAAGCTCACTGAGCCATTTATCTCTCCGCCCTTCAATTAACCCCACATGTGTTTATTGGTTGGCACAATAAACTAACTGAGAAAGTAAAAGGAAATAGAGGAAAGAATTAGGAGGCAAAAGACATTTAGAGAGGTCTAAATACGGGCATGTACACATGTAAATATATTTATATACAGCAATAGGGATATAGATCTATGTACATATATTTATATGTTAAATATTAAGATAGCAGACAAACATTGGGCTTCCACTCAAATATGCTCTTTGTTCTAATAACCTGGTATTCTGCGATACCCACCTTCCTGACATGATCACTGAAGACAAAATGAGCACATAAGCAAATGTGGTGAAGAAAGTTGATGGTGCCTGGCTATTAAAAGACATAGCATCTGGGGTTTTAAAGGCTTGACGATAAACAGGCAGCCATCTAGTTAGGAAGCAACAAAGCCCACATGGAAGAAGCATACCAGCCTGTGTGATCACAAGGTATTGACAGGATCAGGTTATCAGGCATCAGAAGACCCAAAACAAACAATCATATCAATGCAAATGAAGGGGGTGGAGTGGAGATCCAAAGCCCATCTGTAGACAGTTGGAGATCCCCTCTCAGAAGGGTCACAGGAAGGGACGAGTCAGCCAGGGTGCAGTATAGCACCAAAGAAACACACAACATTTCTCTGCTTCTTTAATGCTTTTTCCCCCCACCCCCCACTATTATGACCACAATTCTACCTTACAAATCTGGCTAGACCAGAGCATGTACAGTGGTACAAATAATAGCTCACAACACAGGGAATCCAGGACAGATAAACCCCTTCAAGACCAATAATGACAGTAGTGATACCAGGAGGGTAAGGGTAAGGTGGGGGAAGAAGGAGACACTAATCACAATGATCAACATGAAACCCCCTCCCAGAGGGATGAACAACTGAAAAGTGGGTGAAGGGAGACAGCAGTCGGTATAAAACATGAAAATAATAATAATTTATCAATTATCAAAGATTCATAAGGGAGGGAGAGTGGGAGAGGAGGGGAAATGAGCTGATAACAAGGGCTCAAGTAGAAAGAAAATGTTTTGAAACTGATGCTGGCAACATAGGTACAAATGTGCTGGACACAATGAATGGATGGATGGATTATGATAAGGGCTATAAGAGCTCCCAATAAAATGATTAAAAAGTAAAAAAAATGGAGCTTTTAAAAATTTGTGGAAAACAATAAAAGGATCATGAAATCCTTAAAAAAAAAAAAAGACTGTTGTACCTTACAAATCTGGCTAAACTGGGGCATGTAAAATTATACAGATAAGAGCTCACCACACACGGAATCCAGGGCAGAAAAACACTTCAGGAACAGTAATGGGAGTAGCAACCCCATGAGGGTAGGGGAAGGTGGGGAGAGAAGGGAGCTAGAGAGAACTGATCTCAATGATCAACGTTTTAAATCCACCCATCTCCCCCTACCAAGAGGACCAACAACAGAAACATGGGTGAAGGAAGATAGCAGACAACATAAAACATGAAAATAATAATTTATAATTTATCAAGGGTTCATGAGGGTGGGAGGGCGGGGGAGGAAGAGAAAAAAGAGGAGCTGATACCAAGAACTTGTTTTTGGCTTCTTTTGGAATATTAAAAGCTCTATATTTTCTAAAGTTTCAACCATATTTTTCAGAACCTTTTCAAGGTGGCTGGTTCCACATGTGAAACATCTGTTTATGTGCCATTAGTACTAGAATTCCATCTTTTTTGAAACCACTGATATAGACTTGAAATTCTCCGCACCTTGACTTCCTACTTTGCTTATTTGTAGCCAACCCAAAGAACTGTGCATCATAAAAGCAGAAGACTGAGAACAATTCCTATTTATGCCTACAACCGTCATTATATTTTATAAGGATAAACTTCATGAGTGTTTATCCTCTGGAGTGAACCCCAATAAAAAATGCTCCAACTCTGAAAAAAAAAAAGAAAATGATGATGACAACATCTGTATAAATGTGATCGATACAATTGATATATAGATTGTTATATGAGCAGTGAGAGCCCCCAAATAAAATGATTTAAAAGACATTTTTTTAATTGGTCTGTCATCAGAGAGGTATTATTGCACAGCTTCTGGTCTAGAGGTTTCTCTGGGCATTTTTTTCCTTCTTAATTTAGATGAAAGTTTACAGAGAAAATTATTTACAACACCTTAGACATACAACAATTTATACACATCTGTTTTGTGACATAGGCTGTCATCTTCCCAATGTACCGGCACTCTTCCTTCTTTCTCCCCAGTTCTCTGTTTCCAGTCCCTCTTCTTGACCGCCCGCTCCTGCCTTTTGAGTTTTGTTTGGGGGCAAATGTTGTGTCATTGGTCTTCTGTGTTTGCTTGTCTAAGGAGCACATTCCTCCCTGGCATACCCCTCAATACATTCACTTTATAGACTTGTCTATTGTTTCACTGAAAATTGATGCCTGGGGGTGGATTCAGTTCCAGGATGGAAGGATGTCCAAGGGCCACCATCTCAAAGGTTCGTCAACTCTCAGATCAGTAAGTCTGGTCGTTTTTTATGTTTTTGAATTGTATTCTACAACCCTCTCCCCGCAGCCTCACCCCACCCCCACCCCTGTTAGGGACATTCGATTAGGACTGATCAGATCAGTAGGTTGTGCTTGCTGGGCATCTCCTACTTCTTCCAGTGTCTGCGTAGTAGCAGTCTGTAATTAGTCCTTAGAACTAATCATTTCCTTGAGGCTCTGATTTTCTTCATTATTCTTTACTTCAGATTAAGACAGTGGCATCCAGACATACTTTAAGTTCTTGTCGTCTGGACAAAGTCTCCTCCAAGTAGAGGCTGCCAGTGATCTTTGTTGCCAATTAAGAAATTAAAGAATTGAATTCTGGTTGTGATTCCTATGCAAACTGAAAATAAAACAATAACTCAACTTCCTTAACTTTTGGCTTCCTGTGTAATAGCAATAAGTTAGCATTTTATCAATAACATTTGCTATACAACGCAAAATAATTAAGGCAAGTATATTGGCCATGCATTTTGAGCTTCTTATGTGAAAATAATTATGTAAAGTATTTAATACAAAAATAGCAGAAAATAAATAAAGTCAAGATAGATGAAAATTATAGTGACTGGATTCACTTTCTGCCTCCATCCATGGAGTTGTTCTTCATCCTTAATATGCTAAGAACAAATAATCTTTTTTTTTTTCACTATGCAACCCACTTCAGTGCCCACCGCCCATGGGACAGAGCCAGGCAATGGTTCGGGGTTACAGTTCGCTCTGGCACAGGACACTATGAGAGGCCCATGGGGTCGGGCCTGCCATCAATCCAAACCCATGCACCAAATAATCATTTTTAATGACAAGTAATGATTGGCAAGTAGACTCTAAAACAAGAGAGTGATTCTATTATTTGCACTCTATTAGTTAAAGAGATTGTTTAATATGTAAGGAGTAAGACAAAAGTTATCAGTAAGCAGTGGAGAAGACTGGCCTCCTGAGTAAAATTGAACTGGTCACCTACCTTCTATAGACCTCAGTTTCCACAGCTGATATTGATAACAATCCTTTATAAAAGTAGGATTTTTGGAGTATCTTAATGATAGCCCCCAATGTAAAGCTTCAACCACTAATTTGAATTGTCTTAGAACCTAAGATCGCCATAATCCCCCCTGTCCTTCTGCTCCAGTCCATTCCCAAAGCTCACAGCTTTGGTGGGTTATGCAGAAAACCACATTGCTTCCCCAGGGTTCCTTGCTCTGAGTAGAATTATGCTTCCATTCCACAACTCTGTCTTATTTATCACCGTTGCTGACATCTAGGTTCCAATTGATTATTGAAACCTAATGTGGCACAGTTCAATAAAAAACAAACAGATTATTTTTGCCCACAAGTCTCTCACGTTTATTCCCAGAGAGTGAGAATCTGGAAACAGCTCCAAGAACACTTCTGAAATCCTACTTCTTTCAGGAGGTTTGACCCTGAGTCTGATCAGCCTGTCTGTCGTTGAGGGGTGTATGGCCAGTCAAGTACACTGAAGTATGCTGTGAGCTCAACTAGTACCACAACTTCTATTTGGACAAAATTAGGTTAAAATGAACAAAGAAGGTCAAATAACACTTTTTTTCCCCCATAGGCTTGCTGTTAGGATCAAATACCGTTTATGTAAAGCAGTTAACATGTGGGAAGAACACAGGTGATAGTCATTATTTTCAAGGGATCCCTAAATTTATCAGGCTCAACTCTGAGCTCTTATCAAACAGAAACCTTGGTCCCCATTTTTATCATTCTTTCTCTTGCCTTTGGGTCATTGTACATGCTCTTCCTCTGCTTCATCTAACTCCATATTTTACTCAAGTGATAATTCCTATTCGACGTTCAAAATCCACTCATATATTCAACAAATATTTATTGAGCACCTATCATGTCCAAGGTAGTGTTCTTGATGATGTGGATAGATCAGTGAACAAAACAGTGCAAAAGGTAATCATGTGCTTTCCTGACATGTACTGTAATTACTAGTGTAAATCTTTAGCCTCACTGGACTAAAATGAGGCCTGAAAATGAGAAACATATCAACCTTAAATGTGCAGCATCAAACAAATGTTGGTGAAATCTAGATGCTCAATACATACTGAACAAATTAAATGAATCAGAATAACAGAACATGTGGATTGGAGAAAGGACAATGCTTTGGTGGTATTAGACCATAAATTATGAAAGTAGTATGAGGAAAGGAGAATTATCAAGTTCTGTCCAATTGAATTCTAGAAATAGTTTTTTGATCCGTATGGGCCTTATTCTAAATCGCACAAGGTTGAAAAGAATTATGCTTTGCTAGTCCTATCTCTGCGTTTCCATTACGTCTATCCGTTTGCTAGTCCTATCATTGCTGTTTCCATTACGTCTATCCGTATAAGACAGACGACAGGCGAAGCAAACCCAAGGAGAAAGCAACACGACCAATGATTCCAATGATGCCGGGGGACTTGGAGGAGGAGGGGGGGGGGGGAGGGAGTAGTAAGCAAATAAAGTCATGGATAGGGGAACAACTTGGCATCTAAAATTGAGGGTGAGGGGGGTGTAGAGTTCCTGGAGGGGGGGGAACAACTGTAATCTAGCCAAGAGGAACTACAAAGAGGCAAATGATGGGGGAGCGTGACCGTGGGGGCAGGAGGAAGGTGAAGGGAAATAGAGGAGGCGACTAGGAAACTACTTGTAGAGGTACAAACATGGATGTGTACGTAGGCAAATATGCCAATACAGAAAAACTGGAGTCTTGTGTATGTATATATATTTATAAGGCAATTCATTGAGGTAGTGGACTGACTTTGGGCCTCTACTAAAGTTTTCCCTCAACACAAGAACAGTTGGTTCTAAAAAATCTGGCAATGGGCAATGCCCACCTTCCCGACATGTTCGTTGAAGACATACTATGTACATAAGAAAGCAGATGGTGCCCAACTATTAAAAAGTATAGTGTCTGGAGTTTTAAAAGCTTGCAGCCAAACAAGCGGCCATCTGGCAGGGAATCAACAAAGCCTGTGTGATCATGAGGTGTTGATGGGAACAGGCATCAGACGTTCAAAATAAACAACTTCATCAAGGTGAGGGGGTGAGGTAGAGACCCAGAGCCCATCCAGGGATAATTGGACACTCCAGCACAGAGGGACCACATGGAAGAGAAGATACATCCAGGGGGCAGTATAGCACCAATGAAACACATAACACTTCTCCAGGTCCTATAGCCTCCCCCACCCGACCCCCACTCTTATGATCTCCATCCTACCTCGAAAATCCAGCTCATCCAGAGTACATATATAGGTATAGATGAGAGCTTTCAATTTACAGAATTCAACGTAGACTAACCCCTCAGAAACAATAATGGGAGTAAAACTTCCAGAGGGTAGGGGAAGGGGGAACTGATAGTGATGATGGTGAATTAACCCCCGCAAAGGGGATGAATACCAGGATTGTAGGTGAAGCGATAGAACAGGTGGTGTAAGATATGTATAAATAACAATACATGATATATTAAGGGTTTGCAAAGGTGGCAAGATGGGGGAGTGAGGGAAAGAAGACGAACTGATATCAAGGGGCTCAAAAAGAAAGATAATGTTTTGAAATTATTGATGGCAATATTTGTACATATCTGCTTAATATAATGGCTGTATGGGCTGTTATAATATATGTTAGAGCCCCCAATAGGATGATTTATTAATAAATTAAAAAAAAAACTGATACCAAGGACTTAAATAGAAAGTAAATGTTTAGAAAATGATGACAACATAGTATAAACATGCTTGATACAACTGATGTATGTATTGTTATAAGAGCTGTAAGAGTCCCCAATAAAATGATCTTTAAATAAAAGAAAAAGAACTATACATTTGCTTTATTCACCACAAGTTTAATTTCTCTTCATTTCCTTGCTTTTCCCAACACTAAAAACCAATTTCAGTGGTGTTGGGTTGATTTGGACCCACAGTGATCCTCTACAGCAGTGGTTCTCAACCTTCCTAATGTCGTGACCCTTTAATACAGTTCCTCGTGTGGTGGTGACCCCCCACGACCATAAAATTATTTTCGTTGCTACTTCTTAACTGCAATTTTGCTACTGTTATGAATTGGGTGACCCCTGTGAAAGGGTGGTTCGACCTCCAAAGGAGTCACGACCCGCAGGATGAGAACCGCTGCTCTACAGGGTTTCTAAGGCTGTAAATCTTTGCTGGAGCATAGTTTCATCTTTCTCTTGTGGAGCAACTGGTGGACTTGAACCACCAGCCTTGCTGTTAGAAGTCTAGTGTGTTAGACAGGGTTCTCTAGAGAGATAAAACCAGATTGCTAATAATTTTATAAATATATATTTAGATAGATAGATAACACAAGAAATAAACAGTTAACTTATAAAGCAGTACAAATGGCTCAGTACAATTCAAATGTGTTAGACAGTTGTGAG